TGCCACCCGCCATGCCATTTAAACTCACCCTCCCAAATCAGCTATGAAAATCTGAGATAAAGTACACGGACGAGCATTAAAAATAAAGCACTAAGTTCTTTTTTTTTTTTTTTTTAAAGGCAAATGCAAAGCAGCCACTCTCTGTTTTATACACGGGCATTCCAACACTTGGAGGCTCTCGTGGTGTAGAAACTTGCAGCCTGGCTGCGAGGCAACAATTCCTCCCACACAAACCAACCAGAGATCAGGACCTACGGAGGGAAAAGAGGCCAAAACATTGAACCTCTAAAATTCCCAATTCCCTTACCTCTTCAGAACCATGTGGAACAGGATTACAGCCAATCTGCTATTTATTTTACTTTATTATTATTATTATTTTGCACACACAGGGTACATGACGCTTTGATATTGAATGTATTCAAGAAGATACCTTTGCTCTTTTGCAGTCTGACTCATCCATCTCTAGAACACCCTTCTGTGGGTCCCTCAAAGTGGAGGGACCCTTTCCCTTCTCCGTTCCCATTTTGCTTAGCACCTGTGTATTTCTACATGCAGCCTGACTGGGTATGTCCTTGTCCCCCTCCCCAGGGCACTGTGATCTCTGGGACAGCAAGGAACAAGGACCGAGTATTCTTTCCTCTCTGTATCTCAGCATTTTGCATGGTGCTCCTGGAAGGTAATAAGTTCCCAGTAAATGTTGGCTCAAATGAAATCAAAACCCAACCACTACCAATAACAAGACCAAATAAACAATAAAACCCCAGATTTTACAGTTCATTGACTTCCCCTCTGAGCCTCAATATTTTTGCATTAAAGCAAAAGGGTTGACCAAAGCGATTTCTAAGGTCATGTTCAGCTTGTAGATGGGAAGCAAAACAGGCGCTGGTGAGATTACTGGGGTTCTTTCTGCAATATGCACCAATTTGGGAGCCCCCACAAATGGCACCCTGGCTCTGTCAGGTTTCAGACCTCAGAGTCTGAAACTTCTGAGACTCCTTTCAAAAATCTAGTGTTGAGAACTGCTAGAAAATGACTTTGCCAAGGGGGTGTGGGCTCTGAATGGTCCTGGCCATTCTTTGAGAAGGGAGATGCCCTTGGCATGGGGTAGTAGACAGTCCAGCTGCCCCAAGCCAGGGCTGTCTGTGATACCAGGAGGGTTTTGAGGGTGATGCTGGCTGAAGCAAACATAAATGAGGTGGTGGCTGTCTTCACAAAGAGAAGCTTTTAATGGACCCACAGTGACGGGCAGCAGAACTCTAAAGCTTCTTTTTTTTTGTTTTTTTTTTTGTTTTTTTTTGAGATGGAGCCTCGCTCTGTTGCCCAGGCTGGAGTGCCATGGCACGATCTCGGCTCACTGCAATCTCCACCTCCCGGGTTCAAACAATTCTCCTGCCTCAGCCTCCTGAGTAGCTGGGACTACAGGCACCCACCACTATGCCTGGCTAATTTTTGTATTTTTAGTAGAGGCAGGGTTTCATCATGTTGGCCAGCTGGTCTCAAACTTCTGATCTCAAATGATCCATCCACCTCGGCCTCTCAAAGTGCTGGGATTACAGGCATGAGCCAGTGCGCGCAGCCAAGCCTCTCATTTTGAGAGTGAAACTAAGACCCAGACCCGAGTTGCAAAGTAACTCAGCACTGCCACTGGAACTCAAATGCAGGCTCTCACGGGGCCCCAGTCTGGGCTCCTGTGACCAAATTAGAGCAGAAGAGAGCTCTCAGCTCCTCAGGTGTGCCAGCAGGGATGCTGAAGTTTCCACACAGGCTACACAGCTGAACGAAGCTGCATGTAAGTCTTATTCTAGAAATCTTTGTGACCGGGCCAGCTCTTCCATCGGCCTGTGGAGTGTGTGCACACAGGCATGCAGAACTCACTGGAAAGCTTTACAAGATGACTGGTGGATTTTATTTTTTGCTTTCCTGGTTGCTTTTTGTGATGTAGGAGGGGCCTAGAGTGAGAGTTAATGTTTAGATCCCTGGCCAAAGCTCTACCCAAATATAAACCCTTTGAGTCAGCAACCTTCTACACAGGAACTGACTCAAGCAAGGTTAACTGATCAGAAGGCTCAGAGTCACACATGGGAGAGGGCTCCTCCTTGGACAATGTCAACTGCCTGCCTTTGGGTGGTGTCCTGGCTTGGGGGCTGCTTGGTGGGGAGGGGAGACAGAGATCTACCTCAGCCCCAAAGACCCAGGACCTAGAAGGACTCCTTCCTGTCAAGCTCACAGACGACTTCATCCCCATAAGAAAGGCTTCCAGATCAGTGACAGCCAATTCTGTGAGTGCCACCAGGGAAGTGGGGCAGCACAGCCCTGTCCATAGTCATCAGGAAGGCTGCTCAGAAGGCAGTTTCCGCCTGCTGCTGCAGAGCTTCGAGGAACAGACTCCATACCCCCTAAGAAACCCTCTGCCATCACTTCTAGCAACACTTCCTGTTTTTCTCTCTCACCCTGGGTGGGGTGCTGTGGCCTCCCAGCCAGGGAGGTAGGCGACCAAGGCCCTGCTCAAGCCCAGGCCCTGGCCTTGCCCAATCGCACCCCAAACAGCAAATGCCGATCCAGAAAAATGCAGGGAAGGCAAATTTCACGGTTTGTGGGATTTTGAAAAGGCAGGAGAAGGAGCACTCTATTCATTCTTTATTTAGCAAAAAGTGTACGATGGAACTTTTTCCCCTAGACCTGAAGTCAAGGTATACACATACGCACATATAGAGTATGAACTACCTATATATACACACATTCACTTAATTACATGTATTATAGCCACACGCTGTCTATTCTGCAGAACGTATTTTGGAGAATGTATTATTGGCCTCATTTTGCAGATATGGAAACTGAGACGCCGAGAGGTTAAGTCTGGTGACCAAAGTAAGAGAGACTGGAGACCAGAAGAGACCGCATGCTGTACCCAGACATTTGCAGAGGCGGGGGGGCACGGAGTGGTAAACTCCGTCAGTCATTTCAGCCAACCATGGGATTTCAGAAAACAGCCGGCAGGGGTCCTAATGTTTGGGGCAGGAAGGGGAGGTGGGGGAAGGCACTGTGAGGGACTCCAGCACTGGGCGCCCCTTCCCCACCGCAGAGACAAGCGGCAGTTTCCACAGCAGCCGGCAGGGGGCAGTGCACCTTGCCTTTTCGAAGCCTCCGGGCGCTTGGGCAGCGCCCGGGAAAGAAAACCAGGAGGCTCCGCCCGCAGCTTCTAGGAACAGGCAAGTTGAGCCCCGCACGTAGTAGGTGCTCCAGGCACGTCTAGAAGCCCAAAGGGCTTGACAGATACATTTGAACTCCATTTTAGAGACTGGAAGGGAAGAAGGGGGCGTCCCGGCCCCTGCCAGCACCTTCCACCTTGGGGCCTTGTCAGTGAACACAGTGTTAGCACCTACGACGTGCCAGGCGCCCTGGCGACTACTGGAAAACCAGGCTCCCCTCTCACCCCGTTTTCCTCGTTGGCGAGTCGGCCTCGCCTCCTCCTCCTATCTCTTCCTCTCACCACACACACCCAGCCGCAGAGCGGGGGTGGGCGCTCGCTGTCTCCCTGGAGAACCAGCTCGTCGCAAACTTGCGGGGCTTGGGGACCCGCGAGGGGGAGAAGTCGGGAGAGGCCAGGGGTGCCCGGAAACAATCACGAGAAAGCCGGGCGAATGCCTGATGCAGGGACGCGGCGAGCCAGTCACTGCCCCCAGGGTCACGGCTGTCTCCCTCTGCGGGACTCGCCCGGCCCACGGGACGCAGTGACCTGCCCAACCCCCACCCCCTTGCGCGCTTCTGGGCGCGCACGTGTCCCCTAGCGGAACGCACCACCGAGCCCCGCTCGTGGTACGGCCGGCGAGGACCCTCGCGTAGGAGGGAGGAGCGAGTCGGAGCTCCAGACAACGAGCAAAGCCAGAGGATACCCACACGCTTCCTGGGAGACCTGGCTGCAAGGCCAGGCTAAGGCGCGCTCCGGAGTCTCTGTGCTAAGCCGGGGCGCAAGCTCAACTCCCATCTCAAGTTCAGCCGCGCTTCCTCCCGCAAGGTCACGCTTAAACACTCGCGCAGAGAAAGGAGGAGCGGAAAGTTGCGCCACCGTCCCCATTTCAAACTAACTGTACCCTGACCAGGGCGCCTCGCCCCAGTGTCACCGCTGTCCGTCCCCGCGCGCTCCCAGAAGGGGTGGCCCTGCCCCCACGCAGGTCACATACACGACAGACACAGGCAAGTTGCTAACTTTTGTCATATTATTTCTCGGGAGCTGCGGCGCCTCAGGGGGTTGGGGCGGATTCGGAGTTTCGAGTTTGCCACTAACACTACTTGGGCCGTGCTCCCCTTGGCCCACCCGCGTCCCCCACTGTCCGCCACGCCGCGTTCAGCTCTCTTGTCCCGGGTGCCAACTTCACCCCCAGATCCGGAGCAGTGTGCGCTGAAGGCGTCCGCGGGGCGCTACCCCCCTCCCAGGTCTTCGCCTGCTCGCAGCGGATTGGGGGACTCGATCCGGATACTGTCCCACGGCCGCTCCTCCAGACACTGGCGGCCTCCGCGGTGTCCCAGCCTGTGACCCCAAATCCGCTCGAGAGCGCCTGAGCCCGGCCACCCAGCGAGATCTCCTCCCACGGGCGGCCCCAGCGGGGGAGATTCCAGCCCGGTGCCGGGTGCAATGTCACTGGGGTTGCTTTCGGGAATCGCTGCCCGGGACTTGGCGTAGGTTCCCCGCAGAGCTCCAGGCAGCTCCTCCAGTGTCGGCCAAAGACCCCTAAGCCCGAACCTCCACCCCGACCTTCTTCCGCTCCCAAAGCCCCGGGTGGTCGCCGCGGCTAAGGAAGGAGTCTCACTATGAATCCTAGGGTCTTCAGTCCCAGCTCCGCAGTCACACCCTCCTAGTCCCCTCCCCATCCCTTCAGTTCCCGGGTCCAGACAATCAACCCTCCACTCCGAGAATCCACAGGAAACTGCCCGAGCCCCAACTCCGGCGGACGCAGCCTCCGCGCACCCCGAGCAGGGTTCGCCTCCGCGCGCGCACTCACCACGGCTGGAGACACGCTGGAGTTTCCGGGATTTGGGCATGAGGGGGTTCGGAGGAGAATAAAGGGGTGTGGGTGTCCCAGACACTCGCCCCCTTCCCAGCTCACATCGTCTCTTCCTTCTTTCTCCGCTCCTCTTCTTCCTCCTCCTCCTCCTCCCTCCGGTCTAGGGCTCTTTGTCTTTGCAAAGTGTCGAAACTGTCTGGCATAGTGGGTTCCGCCGGCGGAGGCTGGAGCCGGGGAAGCGAGGAGGCGGGGTGAGGGTGGGAGAGGGCTCGGGAACACCTTCCCCCGGGTGTAACGGGAGTGAAAGGCGGGGCGACCAAGGAGGGGCCGCCTTTCCAGGCCGGCCGGGGCCGGGAGCCAGGGCGCTCCAGAGCCCAGTCAGCGCCTCCCCTGCGCGCGGCCCTCCCCTTCCTCCGCCCAGTGCCCGCCCCTCCCGACCCGGCGCCTCCGTTCGGTCCCGCCCACCCCCCCTTCCCCGGCTCGGCTTTCCCCTAGCTCCGGGCTTCCTGCAAGCCGAATTTAGCTCTGCCAAGCCACGTGGACCGCAGCGGGCTCGGCAGAGGCCGAGCCTGGGAGACGCCGGAGGCGGCGGCGGCGGCGCGGGGACCTGATCGGCGCCCCGAGAGGAGCCCCCCGCTCCCCGACGCCGCCCTCAAGCTGGCGGGGCTAAGGAAGAGCGCCCGGGCGGGCCGGGAGCCACTGGGGTCCGTTTCAGGAAGAAGACGGGCACTCACCGAGAGGATGGCAGTGCCCAGAAGAATTCGAGTCGGGGGCACGGTGGGGAGAAGGGGCCGATCCCCTGCTGGCGACCGGGCAGAGCCACCCATTTCCTCTAAGGGCGCGGGACTCGAGGTGGGATTTAGGGAGGGGGAAGGGAGGAGCGTGGGCTGGAGGACTTTTGCGGCCAGAACCTCGTTCAGAGCCACAGAGCCGGGCGCTGCGGCCGGCCCTGGTCCCGGCCCCGACCTGCCACCGCTTTTTCCTTCCAGATGCGGAGGCTGCGGCTGGGGCTTGGGGTTTGCGGCTTAAGCTTGCAGTTATTTAGCCCTCCCTTTTTTACAGGGAAGCGGGGGCGGTGGAGACTTATTTTGCTGAATGGCAGAGAGCAGGGCTTTCATGCTAAATGCTGTACACAAGTCATGTAAATCTGGTTTTACGGTTCTTAGCCGCTTACTGAGACTACCTCTTTCGCAACTTTTCGGAGGAATGTTAGAGGAAAGAGGCACAGTTGGCACAGTTTGGCTTTAGGGTCATTGCATCCTTCCAGCGCCCCTTGCTCCAGCTGGAGAGAGATCAGCCTTTTGCAGTGGAAGGGGAGAGTCCCTCGGCCTTTGTTTCATCAGAGGGCTGCTGTAGTACAGGGATTCAGGCCAGGGCCCGCATGGCCAGACTTCTGGGGTCAAATCCTGCACTGCCACTCAACGGATGTGTGAGCTTGGGCTAGTGACTGAACCTCCCAGCCTAGGTGGCTCTGTGCCTCGGTGTCTTCATCTGTGAGAACCGACCTAAGAAGTGTCAGTCTGATAAAGCTGTTGTGATCAGTTAGTGAATTCGTACACATAGAACCTTTGGAACTGTCTTTGACATGTAGTAAGTCAACTGTGTAGATGGTGGGTTTCTCCAGTGCCAGGTCCCTGCCCATGGCAGGAAGATGACCTGCCCTAGAGGATGGGGGCTAGGGTGTTTGGGAAGACTTCAGGGACTTGGGAGAGAAAAGGAGAAATATTCAGGGATGAGAAAAGTAGAAGAGAAACCAGCTTTTAAAAGGAGGAGGAGAGAGAATGAGAAAAATAACTACTAGAAAGGAAAGGAAAAGATGAATAGCCTTTTAGGAGATTCTGGACCTGCTCTGAGACCTCTTGCCTGACGCCCTTGGTTTTTGATAGAGTTCTAGAGAAGGGGTGAGCCCTTCTGTCTGCCTGGACACATCCTGTGGGCTTTTCTCTTTCCGAAACTCGGGTCAAGGTGTTCACTGCATCTACAAACTGCTTGTGTGCATGGGAGGAGGGGAGCAGAGAGTTCTACTTGCATCAGCTACTGTCCCCTCCAGCAGCAGCGTCTTCCAGCAAGGAAGAGCTTCTAACGTGCACCAGACTTTTAGCTTTGGCTGGGAATATCATCTGGGCCAATAAAGAGTTTTTGGATGAAATAACAAAAGTGTTGTTTATTGTATAGATCAAATAATGTATGGGAACATATTTGAAAAATAGAAAATGCTATACTCATATTAGACTACACTAGTATATCCTAGTAGATTCTATGGAAAAAAGATCAGATTTGGCAAGTAAGGAGCCCCAGGTCATCCAGCTGTTTCACTTTGCAGCCAAGAACCAAAAGCAGCTCAGTTTTAGCTGAGTTCTTACTGTACGTATTATATGTGCAATACTGGCAGTGCAGTAGTTTTGTTTATACCAGCATCACCACAAACACATGAGTAATGCATTGAGCTGATGTTCTGGTCACTAGGCACAGGAGTTTTTCAGCTACATTCGTGTATTGTGAGACCACTGTCTTATATGCATGTGGTCCATCATTGACCGAAATGTCATCCAATGCATGACTATATATATGAATAGTGTAGATTGTATGAGTTCTGCCAAATAGTTCTGCTAACTCAAATGCCCACCAACATTCTCAGGGTTGGAGGGAGGCTTCAGGACCATGTCTTGGAAGTTCTCCTGGATGACTCTATAGTGAGATGGAAATTCCTTATTAATTGACATTATGGTGAAACACATATAAATCACCACCTTATTTGAATAAAAGGTTGTACATCAGATGCATCTTTAGCCGATCTCTGAAGGGTTAACCTGGGCAAGGCCTTTTCTGAAAGCCCCACTTTCTTTCTGTTATGTTTCTTCCCAGGTAACAGGGACAGCCTCTCCCTCTCCTTTTTTTTTTGAGTTGTGACATTCCATGCAAGTAGCACTCTTAACACCCCCTTTTAAGACCCCTTCCAGGGGTTGCATGTCAGAAGTGTGTGCATGCATTTCTCTTTGTCACCCTGAGTGTATCTCCCATCACATCCTGCCAGAGAACAAGGAGTCACAGTCATTACTGGGAGTGTCTGCACAGCGGGTCCCTGGGGAGCCCTGACATTGATTTACTGCATGCTGCCACCTCCTACCTTTTTGGAGCACCAGCAAAGCTCTCAGTAATGATGGTTAAGGAAATTGATTTCATCCTTTCCCTACCCCCCTTTCTTGGCACAGCAGAGTGGAAAGATCCTAATGGGTTCTGATCCCATTTGGGTGATTGTGCAGAAAAGAAAAGGGCTGCCTCACTTGTGAGAGATGAGTTCAGAGGTGCGGGCACAGCACATGGTGTTTTGTGTTTCAGACAGTGTTTTCCTTAGGGCTCTTGGGACTGTGAGGAACTCACTCAGGTTTCCTTAGAAAAGAAGAGTTTTAATGTAAAGATGTGCCGAATGAAGCTGAAAACAAGCTGGAAGGAGAGAGAGCCCATCTCTGTGTCTCTGTCTCCCTCCTGGCCCCACCACTGCCCGCCCTCCCCCTCTCTGCTCTGTTCTCTCTCTGCCCACAGGCTTTCTCTGTTAAATCCTGGGGTCTGTTCTAAAGTTTTCTGCATGTTTATGGCCCCAGCCTTTCTGCATCCTGGCAATTGTGAAAACAATCTTCAGCTTCACTTCCCACTGTGGTTCCACCAGGTGTTTTAGTTTTTCCAGGAGAGGAATCTAACTGACAGGCCTCATCTACAGAGTCATGAATCACCAATCCAACACTGAATGGACTGCGCAGGCAGCCTGAGCCCACCTCATGAATGACTATCCAGAAGGACAGTCCTCCAGGAGATGTTGCATTAGAGGGAATGTAGGAGACATGGTCCTGACTCTGAGAATCTTGGCAGACATTTGAGGTAGCAAAACTATTTGGCAGAACCCAGCTACATTTTTCACATGTACAGTTGTGCATTGCATAATGACGTTTTGGTCAACAAAGGAATGCACATATGACGGTGGTCCCCTGTGATGGCACCGATAAATTCCTGTCACCTAGTGGTGTAGCTGGCATAACGTCAACTCATCGCATTACTCATGTGTTTGTGGTGATGGTGGTATAAACAAACTTACTGCACTGCCACTATGGCGAGCATAATATGTACAGTACATAATACTTGATAATGATAATAAACAGCTATGTTACAGGCTTATATATTTACTGTGCTATACTTTCAATCATTTTAGAGTGTGCTGCTTCTGCTTATAAAAACCAGAGTTTACTGTAAAACAGTATTCTGTGTCATACCGGCAGTAGCCTTATTCATCTCATTTTTTCCTGATTGCATCATTTTCTCTTGTGCTTGATTTAATCTCTTGCTGTTTTGTTCCTCATGGTCCCTAAGCATACAGAATCTATGGCTAATGTTGCCAAAGAGAAGCCACATTAAGTGATTGTATTAGTCCATTGTCACACTGCTAAGAAGGACATGCTTGAGACTGGGTAGTTTACAAAGGAAAGAGGTTTAATAGACTCAAGAGTTCAGCATGGCTTGGGAGGCCTCAGGAAACTTACAATCACCACCGATGGGGAAGCAAACACATCCTTCTTCACAAGGCAGCAGGAGAGAAAAGAATGAGTGCCCGGTGAAGGGAGAAGTCTCTTATAAAACCAGATCTCATGAGAACTCACTATCATGAGAACAGGATGGAGGAAACTGCCCCTATGATTCAATTATCTCCACCTTGTCCTTCCCGTGACACATGGGGATTATGGGAACTAGCAATTCAAGATGAGATTTGGGTGGGGACACAACCAAACCATATCAGTGATTGAGCTGGAAATGAAATTAAAAGTGATTAAAGACCACGGAGGTGGAAAATTGGTGATGGTTATTGCTCGCCAGGCAGGTAGGTCGCATTCCATCGTAGCTACAATCTTGGAGAAGAAGAACAAAGTGATAAAAGTTGAAACTATCTGCTTCATTGAAGGCAATGGGACTATCAACAATTTAAGAAGGGCCTATACTAGATATAGAGACATTTCCTATGACCCAGATTGAAGACTAGACTGACACACAAGTGTATCCCACCCAGCCCCATGATGATTCCAGCCAAAACAGAAAGTTTGTGATGTTGAAAGAAAAGGCTGGATTTGACTAGGATGCTGAATTTACTGCTAGCTTTGGGTGGTTTAAACGACTGAAGAATCATTCTTTATTATATAATATGAAAGTGAGTGGTGAGTCTGTGAGTGCTGATGTGAAGGCAGCTGAAGAATTTTTGGAAACTGTAGATAAGCTGACTGGAGGAAATTTACTTGCCAGAGCAAATCTTCAATATGGATGAAACCTCCTTATTCTGGAAAGGGATGCCTGAAATGACTTTTATCTATAAGGAAGCCAAGTCAATGTCAGGTTTCAAGGCTTTGATGGACAGGGTAACAGTCTTGCATGGGGGAAATGGTACAGGCTACTAGTTGAAATCCTTTGTGATCTGGCCCAGTGAGAACCCCAGGGCCTTCAAGCATAGCACTAAGCATATACTGCTCGTGGGCTACAGGAGTAGTGAGAAGTCATAGTGGATGCAGCTCCTTTTCCAGGGTGCTGTCCTGCATTGCTGTACCAGTGAAAGGAAAAGCACTGTTTGAAGAATGATCCATCTTTCAAGATTTTACTTATTGTTGATAATGCTCCCACGTGTCCTCTTTTTTACTGGTGATCTTCATCCCAATATCAAAGTGATATTTCTTCCTCCAGGTACCACCTCTTTCATCCACACAATGGATCAAGGAGTTATAGCAGCTTTTAAGTTCTACTACCTGAGGAGGGAGGACTTTTGCCCGGTGCCATACTGCAGTGGAGGAAGACACTGAGAAGACTCTGATGAAATTCTGAACAGCATCAATATGTCGCTAAGGACTGTAGGAATGGCACCTGGAAGATGACACGCAAGAGGTTTGTCAATAACTTCAAAGGATTTGCCAAGGATGAGGAAGTTGCAAAAATCAAGAAGGCCGTGGTTGAGATGGCAAACAACTTTAACCTGGGTATGGATGAGGATAACATTGAGTAATTCCTAGAGAGAGTTCCTGAGGAATTGACTAATGGGTTGCTTTTGGAACTGGAATAGGAGTGCATAGCTGAAGAAGAGGTAAAAGGAAAAGAAAGTGCAGGAGAAAGGAAAAAAGAACTCCCAAGAACACTCACAGCGAAGGGTGTAGCAGAAGTTTTTTCAGGCTCCAACAAGCTCCTTAAGAAGTCTGAAAACATTGGCACCAAAACTGAAAGGTTTTCACTAATAGACAGGAAAGTTCATGGTGCATTATCTGCCTACAAGCAAATCCAGGATTCAAAAAACACCCTTTGAGCTGGAGCTTCAAAGCACAAAAAAAAAAAAAAAAAAAGGATAAAAGAAGCAAACCAAGCAAACCACCATGGACATAGTTGTGAGTCTATTAGTGATGGGGACACATTCTGAGGAATGCGTTGTTAGGCAATTTCATCCCCATCCCTGTGTCAGCGTCATAGTGTACTTACACAAATCTAGATGGTAAAACCTACTGCACACCTGGGCTATATGGTTTAGCCCATTCCTCGAAGGCTGCAAACCTGTACAGCATGTTATTGTACTGAATACTGTAGGCAATCGTCACTCCATGGTAGGTATATATCTAAATGTATCTAGACATAGGAAAGGTACCATAGAAAAACGTCATAAAAGATAAAACCAGTATGCCTGTATAGGCCACTTACCGTAAGTGGAGCATGTGTTACTGGAAGTCGTTCTAGGTTGAGTCAGTGAGTGAGTGGTGAGTGAATGTGAAAGCCTAGGACATTGCCATATACTATTGTAGACTTTATGAACACTGTACACTTGGGCTACACTGAATTTATAAAAATGTGTTTTTCTTCAATAGTAAATTAACTGTAGCTTATTGTTACTTTTTATACTGTATACACTTTAACTTTTTAATAATAATACTTAGCTTAAAATAAAACATTTTGAACAGCTGCACTAAAAATATTTTCATTTTCTTTCTTTCTTTTTTTTTTTTTTTTTCTGTGATGGAGTTTCGCTCCTTCGCCCAGGCTGGAGTGCAGTGGCATCATCTTGGCTCACTGCAAGATGAGCCATCTTCAATCACTTGAACCGTCCCCCAGGTTCAAGTGATTATCCTGCCTCAGCCTCCCAAGTAGCTGGGATTATAGGTGTACACCACCACAACTGGCTAATTTTTGTATTTTTAGTAGAGTCAAGGTTTTGCCATGTTGGCCAGGCTGGTCTTGAACTCCTGATTTCAGGTGATCCACCTGCCTCAGCCTCTCAAAGTGCTAGGATTACAAGCATGAGCCACTGCACCTGGCCTAAAAATATTTTCTTTATATCCTTATTTCACAAGCTTTTTTTCTATTTACAGATTATTTATTTATTTACGTTTTAAACTTTTTTGTTAAAAATTAAGACACAAATACCCACATCAGCTTAGGCCCACACAGCGTCAGTCTTCAATATCACTCTCTTTCACTGCATATCTTGAACCACAGGAAGGTCTTTAAGGGCAGTAACATGCATGGAGTTGCCATCCCCCAAGGTAAGAGTGCCTTTCCCTGGAACACATCCTGAAGGTCCTGCCTGAGGCTGTATTACAGTGAACTCTGTGAGGTTTGCATAACCATGAAATTGCCTAATGACGCTTTTCTTGGAATGTATCTCTGTCATTAAGCCACTCCTGACGGTCTTAGACCCGAAATCTATGCTAAGCCATCTGATTAGTCTCAGTCCATCCTACCCACCCTAATCTCTTTGTCAAAAATCAACTCATGAATGAGTAGCTTTAATCCCTACTTGGACCACCAAGATAAAGAGATAAATATATTGAGTCTCCTAGGAAAAAAGTTTCTAAGAGTAAGCCCTGAATATAGCTTATTTCTACCTGGACATGAACAAAAGATCATTTTTAACACAGTTGCTCTGGGAGGCATCTTTGTGCCCATGAAGAAAGCCAAATAAAATATTAGGTTCAGAGTCCTAATCACACAATACATGAAGTCTGTTCTGGAGTTTCTGTTTCGTGAGTCAATAAAATTATTTTCTTACTCCACTTTAAGTCATAGTTCTGTTACTTGCAACAAAACACTTGATAACGACAGTCAGATTAATTTTCCTGAAGCCCCTCTCCTTCCCTCAAGTCATTTCCAAGCTCAAAACCCTTAAAACGTTTGTGACTTCCCATTGCCTAGGGATGTAAGTCTGAATTTCTGAGTCTAGCAATTGAGACCCTCCTTGGTGTGGTCCCAATGTATGTTTCTCACTTGTTTCTTTCCAATACTCCTCTTTACAAACACTCTACTAGCAGGCATGACTTGGCCCAGAAGCTCTGGTTAACTTGTATGTTAAGTTCTTAAAATCAACATAGATCTCTATCTTGCTGGACTGGTGAAGCCCCCAAGATATACAGAAGTCCAGAGGGCTAATGCAGGGCCTGGTGTGAGGGAACTCTGACTCCTGGCAATCCTCACTGCTTCTGCAGTGCCTCCCACTGTCCTAGGCTGTGAGATCCATAAAAATCATGGTTCCTAAGCTTCCTCATCATAGGGTCCAGCTAGCCCAGATATATGTATTTCCTAGGATAGCCATAACCAACTACTACAAACTGTGTGGCCAGAAATAGCAGAAATATATTTTCTCACAGTTCAGGAGGCTGCAATGAGGTGTTGCAAAAGTTGGTTCCTACTGGAGACTCAGAGAGAAACTGTTCCATGCTTTTCTATGTGACCTCATCTCAACTTGTTTAACCGATTACATCTGCAAAGACCCTATTTCCAAATAAGGTCAAAATCTGAAGATCCTGGTGAGCATGAATATTTCAGGGACATTATTCAACCCACTAAACCAGGGACACCGACATCTCCATGCCCACCTCTGGAGCAGATGGCTTCCATTCTCTGTAGCTCCAGCTGACGGCCAGCCCTGGAAACCCTTTTCATCCTTTTCTTTCTGGTGTTCTCAGAAGCAGATTCCTGTCCCCTTTTTTCATGTAAATGGATTTAAGTTTGATTTCCAAAAAGCTAGACCTTCAGTAACTTCTAATTTTCCCTAAGGTAGCAGTCCTTGGGGCAAGGAAACATTAAGGGCCTGACTGCAGGCTTGAAATGGGGGAAATGGGAATCTATAGTGGACAAAAACCACAAATGAATATTTGAAGTGTCCTGCCATACCTATTGCACCTGCATTCCACACATACCAGTTAATGGAACACCCATCGTTCCTTCTAGAAGAGCCACCACCTGGCTTTGCATATGGACCACGAGTTCCCTGGAAGGCTGTCTGTCCACCACCTGAATCCCCTCCTGTCTAATGTGCACAGCTCTTCCTGAGGCAGCGGGGGCAGTGGGGGTGGGTAGTGGAAGGGCTGCCCCCACATGAGGCCTTTGCTGTTGGCCCTGTGCAGCCCTCATACCTTCTGCTTATCCCTACTGGGTCTCCCTTAAAATCTGTCACCACTTTGCATCTTTGCAGTTACGTGCTTATTAGGCTCTCTTTCCTGTTCGATGGACAGATCCTGAAGGAGAGGTGCAATCCTCCCTTCTTTCATTCATTCATTCAGCAGAAATTTTTTGAGCATCTACTCTGTGCCAGATACTGTGCTAAGTGCTGAAGCCATGCAGGTAGACATGACATAATTCCTTGTCTCAGGGAATCCACAGTTTGACGGGGGACTGACAAACTTCCAGTTAGTTCTCCACATTTGGGCAGTGCTGTGACACGGTAACAAATGGGTGTAGTGAGACCTCTGGGGTCAGGTTCCCTGGACTTTCGCCGAGAACTGAGTGTGCAAGCCTAGTGTGTGTGGTGCCTCCCTAAGCCAGCAGAACCCTGAGAGCCAGAGTCTGGCTCTGTTTTGAGGGCAGTCAGAAGCTCTCAGAGAATTTTACATGGTGAGCGTTGGCAGATTTGCATGCTAGGCAGACACCTCAGGCAGCCTTGTGGCCATATGTCCAGACGAGAAGCAATGAGACCATAATTTCAATCATCTAAGAGCTGCCAGGGCTCTGACCTAAGGACGTGGCAGAAGCCTAAAAAGAGGTAGATGAGCTTCGAAGAAGGTGAAATAGATAGATCACAACCATTTCAATCAGGGGCAGGAGGAGAAGGAAAAAGCTTGTATTTCTGTTTTCCATGAGAGCAAGCAGTGGCATTGCTAATTACCCTGCCCCCTAGCATCCATCTCTTACTTCTTTCTGGCAACAGAATTATTTTTGTTTTGTTTTTGTTTTGTTTTAAACATGCATGTGGTATCTGGAGAGGTAGCATCCATCTAGTATGGCAAAACTAGCATGAGAAATATGGGGTTAAAAGATAGAAAGCTCTTTGATCCTTGAAGACATTCTTGAGCACTGGAATCTATGCCAGCAGTATCCTATCTGGGGATCTTTTCTCTGTTTTGTGAAAGAAAATATGCAACAATGTCTGGGCTGGGTGGCTCATGCCTATAATCCCAGCACTTTGGGAGGCCGAAGGCGGGTGGATCACTTGAGGTCAGGAGTTCGAAACCAGCCTGGCCAACATGATGAAACCCCATCTCTACTAAAAATACAAAAATTAGCCAGGCATGGTGGCAGATGCCTGTAACCCCAGCTACTTGGGAGGCTGAGGCAGGAGATTCGCTTGAACCCAGGAGGTGGAGATTACAATGAGCTGAGATCATGCCACTGCACTCCAGCTTGGGTGATAGAGCGAGACTCTGTCTAAAACAAAAAGAAAGAAAGAGAAAGAGAGAGAGAGAGAGACAGAAAGAAAGAAGAAAGAAAGAAAGAGAAAGAAAGAAAGAAAGAAAGAAGGAAAGAAAGAAAGAAAGAAAGAAAGAAAGAAAGAAAGAAAGAAAGAAAGAAAGAAAGAAAGAAAGAAAGAAAGACAGACAGCAACAATACTCAGCCCTAGTCCTAGTCCTTCAAGATATCACATGGAGGTTTCTTGTTACTTGCAACCCAAGTACAACCCTCACCGACACTCAGTGGATGGTGACAATCTCCAGAATGGGGCATCTGCCAGGATGGAGGAGAAGAGGCAGTATCATTTTTGTTTGTCACAGTACTTTCTGTGCACCATTTAGTTGCAGCTGGTTCTAGATACTAATCCTGCCTGACAAACCATCCCAAAATTCAGAGACATATAACTGATATTTCATTATGATCATGGAATCTGTGGGTCATAAATTTGGATGATATTCAGCAGGGACAACATGTCTCTGCCCCACCATATCTGGGAAGACTTGAAGCTGAGGGTAACTCACAGGAGTCACCTAGAGGCTTCTTCACTCATGTATGTAGGATCAGGAATGAGCTGACTTGAGAGCTGGACGCAGCAGGGACTGCCCACTGGAGCATGTCCATGTGGTCTCTCCACATGCCTTGGGCTCTTTGCAGCAAGGGGGCTAGACTGTGAGAGTGAGATTCCCTGGGGAACCAGGGGGAAGCCACGTACCTCTTGTGGCCTAGCTCCAGAAGTAAGGTAGCTTCACTTCATTGAACTGTATTCCTTTTGATGGGGAGAATGGCAAAGAGTCTGTGGCCACGTTTTAGAAAGTCATATACAGTTACAGGCAGCTGCATTTTCAGGAGTTGGGGGCCAGACTGTATTCACAGCCAACAGACGGAGGTGGAGCCAGATGTGGAGGAGATTGCCTG